GCATTCCTGGCTGCTCATGCCTGTGGGAGTGATGTCCATAAGTTCTGCAGAGGAACTCAGAGGGAAGGAGGGTGAGACTGAGATGCCAGAAGAGGGATCTGCTGAGCCAGCAAATAACCGAGGGGGCTTGGGAACTAGATTGGGTTCATACTGCGCTCTTAGCAGGATCTCCTGATCACTAACTGACTTGGGCATCTCAGCAAAATCGCTGGAGCTGTCAGATACCATCATGCAGTAGAGGTCCTGGAAGGAGCTGCTTTTGCTGTCCAGGTTAAAGAGGCTATCTATAAATTCAGCAAACTCCAGCACTTGCGGACTGGGCACATCAGTGAGCCGTCCATTTTGGAGGGACAGCTCCTCCCGAGGGGTGAAGGAAACGTGGTCCCCTTCGCTACGAGCTCCTTCCTCGCTGCCGCGTCGCTGGGGGGTAGTGCCGCCACTGTTGGCCAGGCCCTCTGGGGGCTGGGTCTCTTGGGAGTGTTTGGAGAGGCTGTCGGCAGCCAGCAGTTCTGTCCGTGAGCTGAGGGAGGGGTTCTCCTCAGGAATAACGGGGTCTATATAAAAGCAGTGTGTCTCATCCTTCTCCATGACGACATGGAGGCTGGGTGAACCGCGAATGCTCCGGAAGCCAGAGGAGCGCCTCGACTCAAAACTGTAAATAGACTCATTGTCTGACAGACTCTCCATGGTAGCGAGAGGAGCGCGACGGTCCTGCAGCTCCACAGACAAGCGCTCCTTGGTATCCAGCAGCAGTAGCTCCACCGGGTCCTTCTGCACAGGAGAAAGGAGCTTGGTCTCATAAAACCCTTCCAAACTGATTTCAGAATGGGACTTGCTCCTGCAAAGAGACAACAGAAACATGAGGCAGCCTCTAAAATCTCTCACCTGCCTCAAATTGTATCTGTCATCCTGCACCTAATTTTCGGAATAGCATCTCCACTGGAAAGAAACAATGGAAAATGAAACCACAGCAGGCTCCAACCCTGGAGTTCCCTATCTCTGACCCTCCCTTTTATAGTACAAGGCGTAAAAGCAGTAACCTCCTCTCCCCTTGACAAGAATTATTCCACTGTAGAATAGTGATAGAAATGTAGCTGTGATAGTCTGGGGTAGATGAAGCAAAATGCAGGACAATGTAGCACTTTACAGACTAACAAGATGGTTTATTAGATGATGAGCTTTCGTGGGCCAGACCCACTTCCTCAGATCAAAAATCCACTGTAGAGGCTGCTCTGGCTAGAAGACAGAAGTCTCCCTCCTCTGGGCTGTCAACCTCTCCCTCCTCTCTGCTTGCTCCTTCTACCTCCATCTTCTGTAGCCCTCACTAATGTGGATCCCTCTCCCTCTGGCTGCTCAACTGTCCTGTTTCTTCCTCTGCCTAGCCTCTCACTCTATCTCTGGTGATGGCTCCTGATCAGTGCCTAGAATCTCTCTGTTTCCTCCTTTCTCATCTTATCTTTTTCTTCAACATCAGACACTGCTCAGTTTTATCCCAGGGCTACTTAACTGCACAGATCTCAGCACCCACAACGACTACATCATGTTCGGCCTCCCTGTTTGTGTTGGCCAGACAAGTGCCTGGCTTCCTCGCAGCTTCCCTTATCAACAATCTCAGAAACAAAAGTCCTTTTCTTGGGGAGAGACAGACCCTTCCAGCACAGCTCCGTCTTTTCACTCCCGTCTGGTTCAACGGTCTATAGTTTTGGTATTATTTCCGTCACTCCCACAATTTCTCATCTCCTAGAATCCGCATCCAAGGGCTCTCCCCCTAATTAGAGCAGCTCATTCTATGGCCTTCCCAGTCCCTGCTCTGCCAAGCCCAGCAAGTGCCTGTGCTCCAGTCTTTACACACGTACAGCGGAGTGCAGCCACACTCATTCCCTGGCTCCCCTTTCACTTGGGTTCTGAATGGAAATTAATTTCCTTGTTTTTAGAACTCTCCAGGGGCTGGGTCCAGCAAGCCAGCCCATTACAGCTGCTGCCTACTCCTGGCCTCCCTGACTATGACGGCGTCCTCTGCAGCTCCTGCAGCCTTCTTGTACTCCTCTGCCTCACAGTCTCTCCAGTTCACATCTCAGCTGGGAACATACCCCTTGCTCAGGCTGCTCTACTTCTCGCTTCCTTTGCAATTTTCTGCAATAACATTATTTACTCTATCAATCGTTTGGGGATACACTTTACATGAAGAGCTGCACAAAATGAAGCATTCTGCTCACCATGATGGCTTCCGATAGTATCTTTTATCACTGATCCATATATTACTACCAACACCAGCATATTTACAGGGTGCTGGAAAGTGAAAGGAATGCAAGCTTTACCCCACCACTGAACCCTAGCCCTGTCCCAAGGGAAACCTCCCTTTGTCCTGGAGTAAGAAGGAAAGTGTCAGTGTCCTTTCACCTTTGGGTTTCCTTTTGCTGCATCCAATGAACTGTTAGAACGACATGGGCTTCTTTATTTCCAGAGTAAAAATCCCACTTGAACAGTCACTGAATCTACACTTCAAGCATGAGCCAGTCCCAAGTTTCAAAGAGTGATTGTGATGCTGGCAGACTATGTTCCAGTTCATGTCAAGGCCATAGGTCTCACCTGAACACTGATAAATACATAGCTGGAGGCCAATCCGGCTTTCCTGTGTGTTAGTATCGTTAAAATAGGTATTAGATTATAAAACTGTCCTTAACATTAGACGTTATTAAATGCTTGGAAACTGATCATGCATTCATCCCATTTATAATACCTGTATCCCATGCTATATGTTAATATTTAAGTGTTTGCTCTGTAACTGTAAAGCTGTTTGTTCTATAACTGCAAATCACCAGCCAGGAGAGTAGCATTAACAAATGTGAAATAATACTTTGCCATAGGAAGTGTTCTCTCCTGCCCAGCAATAGACGGCCCATCAATACCAGACAAACCACTGCAGAACACCAGAAGACAAAGTGCTTTATTAAACGCTTCCTCTCTCCCCAAACCCAAACTTCCTACCCTGCTCCTGAAAAGAAAACTTGCAACTGAATTCTTCCCCACAGCTGAACTTGCAACTTGAAGAAGTGGAAAAGGAATAAAAGGCCTAAACAAGGAGAAACAGACTCGGGGTAGGATAACTAGTTATAAGCAAAAGATCCCCAGTATCTGGCCTGGCTTAGTCCTTAAAACATATAGGCTATGCCTACACTGGCACCCTTTTCCGGAAATGCTTAAAACGGAACAGTTTTCCGTTATAAGTATTTCCGGAAAAAGTGCGTCTACATTGACAGGATGCTTTTCCGGAAAAGCACTTTTCCCGGAAAAGCGTCCGTGGCCAATCTAGATGCGCTTTTCCGGAAAAAAGCCCCGATTGTCATTTTCGCGATCAGGGCTTTTTTGCGGAAAAGGCTACTGTGCTGTCTACACTGGCCCTTTTCCGGAATAGTTTTTCCAGAAAAGGACTTTTGCCCGAACGGGAGCAGCATAGTTTTCTGCAAAAAAAGAAAAGTGGCTGCTTTTCCGGAATAAGCTGTGAGCTGTCTACACTGGCCCCTTGAATTTCCGGAAAAGCAGTGACGATTTACTGTAAGAAATCAGCTGCTTTTCCGGAAAAACTATGCTGCTCCCGTTCGGGCAAAAGTCCTTTTCTGGAAAAACTATTCCGGAAAAGGGCCAGTGTAGACAGCACAGTAGTCTTTTCCTCAAAAAAGCCCCAATCGCGAAAATGACGATCGGGGCTTTTTTCCGGAAAAGCGCGTCTACATTGGCCACGGACGCTTTTCCGGAAAAAGGGCTTTTCCGGAAAAGCATCCTGCCAATGTAGACGCTCTTTTTCCAGAAATACTTATAACGGAAAACTGTTCCGTTTTAAGCATATCCGGAAAAAGGTGCCAATGTAGACACAGTCATAGAGCATGCTTATTATAGAAGCTTCTATTACCTTTTGAAATTTAGGACAGTAACACATTTGAGTGTGTATTTATTTAGTTGCTTTAACCTTGAAAATAATACTTATTTCCTTTTCTTAGTTTATAACTCTTTAGACTATTTATTATAGTATTGGCTATAAGTGTCTTCGGTATGACATCTAAGGTGCAACTGACCAGGGGAAGTGACTGGTCCTTTGGGATTGGGAGTAACCTGAATATTACTGGGATCTTTGGTGCGAGGAACAATATATCGAAGGTAAGTTTATCTTGGTGCCAAGACAGATCAGATTTTAATCATAGAATCCTATCTAGAACACTAGAATGGGAAGGGACCTCGAGAGGTCATCGAGTCTAGTCCCCTGCCCTTGCGGCAGATCCCAGTACCACCTAGACCATCCCTGATAGATGTCTGTCTAACCTGCCCTTAAACATCTCCAGTGATGGAGATTCCACAACCTCCCTAGGCAATTTATTCCAGTGTTTAACCATCCTGACAGGAAGTTTTTCCTAATGTCCAACCTAAACCACACTTGCTGCAATTTAAGCCCATTGTTTCTTGTTCTATCCTCACAGGCCAAGGAGAACAATTGTTCTCCCTCCTCCTTGTGACACCCTTTTAGATACCTGAAAACCGCTATCATGTCCCCTCTCAGTCTTCTCCTTTCCAAACTAAACAAGCCCAATTCTTTCAGTCTTTCTTCATAGGTCATGTTCTCTAGACCTTTAATCATTCTTGCTGCTCTTCTCTGGACCTTCTCCAATTTCTCCATATCTTTCTTGAAATATGGTGCCCAGAACTGGACACAATACTCCAATTGAGGCCTAAACAGCACAGAGTAGAGCGGAAGAATGACTTCTCGCGTCTTGCTCACAACACCCCTGTTAATGCATCCCAGAAGCATGTTTGCTTTTTTTGCAACAGTGTCACACTGTTGACTCATATTTAGCTTGTGGTCCACTATAACCCCTACCTTTCTGCAGTGCTCCTTCCTAGAGAATTGCTTCCCATTCTGTATGTGTGAAACTGATTGTTCCTTCAAGTGGAGTACTTTGCATTTGTCCTTATTAAACTTCATCCTATTTACCTGAGATCATTTTTCAGTTTGTCCAGATCATTTTGGATTATGACCCTATCCTCCAAAGCAGTTACAACCCCTTCCCAGCTTCACTATGTTAGGCATTCCTTCATCAGACTCCTTTGTGAAGATGGAAACAAAGAAATCATTAAGCTCCTCTGCCATTTCCAAGTTTCCTGTTACTGTTTCTCCCTCTTCATTGAGCAAAGTTTGGAAGGGGACTGTCTAGGACTCCATGTTAGGCTGTTGTAGTGCTTGAGGAACTCATAGAATCCTAGGGCTGGAAGAGACCTCAGGAGGTCATCGAGTGCAGCCCCTTGCCCAAAGCAGGACCAACCCCAACTAAACCATCCCAGCCAGGGCTGTGTCAAGCTGGGCCTTAAAACCCTCTAGGGATGGAGATTCCACCACCTCCCTAGGGAACCCATTCCAGTGCTTCCCCCAGCCTCCTAGGGAAATAGCTTTTCCTAATATCCAACCTAGACCTTCCCCAGTGCTTGATAATAGCTTGGTGAAATCTAGGTACAGAACTCATAACCAATTTGCAGTTTGTGCCCTGCTCCTTGACATTCTGCCCCAAGGATGGCCCCCTGCTCCTGAGCCATAGCAAGACAGCTTGGAAGTGATCACAGCCCCTGTAGGAGGCAACAATCCCTCGAAAGGCCTGGGGTAAACCTCTCAAGGAAATAAAAGCTACATCCTTACTTGACACTGCTGTTCCTTCTGTCCACGGTTATGGCTCCAATCCCGATTTGTACTGAGGGTCCGCTGGGCAGGGGCTGATTCTGGAAGATCAGTTCTGGGTTGAGATCCACTTCTGTTGGACTCACCATCACTTTGGCTGCAGAAAGCAAGGCAGTTTTGCCCTTGTTGTAATTCTCCAGAACCTATTCAAAATAAGATCAGCTTTGTTCATTTCTGTTCTAAACTCTGAGCTCCCCCCTGACAAGCAAACTTATCCCAATTTGCTTCTTATCAGCAGTCATTGCAAGCCTAGAGGGATGACAAAGGCAAGGATCATACCTAGGATCACACAAGCTGAGACACAAATATTGACATCAAAGCCATACTGTCAGTAAGTACTGCTTTAACCCAGTGGGAGGAAAGCAATTAGCGACCCTGCCTCTGGCAGCCCCAAGATCAGCAGGGCCTAGGAGAAACAGTTCTATTGACTTAAATAAGAGTTGTAAAATCAGACCCAACGACTTGAGACACTTCCTGCAGTGTGACATGTAGGTACCTAACATGTAGGTACCTAACACAGTGGAAAGACACTGAAGAGGCTCCAGCATGTTGGCAGGTGCTGCACAACTCAGAGACCGCCACATTAGTTACTGGTGCCCCACTGGAGAAGTTGTGGCTTATTAGATCAGCCTTGAATACAGGAGCAGTCCTTCATCAGAGAAAGGCAGGGTGTGGATGGGCAGGTCCTAAGGGAAGGAACCAAGGAGCAGACAGGACTAAGGAGACAGCTGAGACTTGGGTTCACACTATGCTGTTTTGATCTAGTGATCAGGGCACTAAACTAAGACTTAGAAGACCCAAGTTCAATGACCAGCTTTGCAATGAATAAGTTATGAGACCCTGGACCAGACCGGCCCGTCCTGTGCCTCAGTTTCCCTTCCCGCCCTTTGGCCATCTTGTCCATTTACATTGTATAGTAGGTGTATGTACAACGCCTAGAGCAATGGGCACCAATCTCGGTGGGAGCCTCTAAGCACTACTGTAATACAATATTATTTATACGGGTTAATAAAACCAGGCACCACACTACAAGTGTGCAGTTTTGATTTGGAGCTGAGTGGGGATTCCACCAGCTTACACTCCCCTCTCTAGCCTCTCCAGGGCCTGAGACTCAGAAGCTATTTTGCTATGCTGAGTCTGCCTCTGCCCCCTCTCCCAATACTTGAGACTTGGACGTTTGGCATTACCTTGTTGAGCCCCTCCATGACCACATAAGGAAGGTGTTCATGCAGCATAGCTGGGGAGATGATGACTTCATTGAATGCTTTATTGTCACCCCAAATTGCAAAGTAAGTGGGATCCTCCTGTTCACAGCAACTGGAATAGAAGTCGAGGATCAAAAGAGAGGGAGAGATGGAGACATGGGAGAGCGTGTGAGTCAGAGAAGGAAGGGGGATAATGTGAGAAAGAGACACAGTAGGATCCAGAAACAGAGAACAAGTGAATGTGAGGGGGGAAGTAAAAGAGAAGAGATGTTGAGTTACATATGCTGCCACTCCTCCCAAGAACAACACTAATCAATCCTGATGCAATATCTCCTCTCCTTAAAGCTCCTCCCCAGGGTAGACATAACCACCGCAGAATAGTGCTAAATAAGTCTCATTTACAGACAAAGCAAGCTGCCAAAGAATGCGGTGGCTTTCCCAAGGTTATCCCCTTGGGTTCCTTTCACAACAGAAGTGTGCCCCCTAGCCTGGCTGCAGCTCCACCTGTACTTACCAGCATTGCTCGGCAGGGTGGTTGTGCACTACGTGGATGATGCGGCCGGGTGGGTAGAGTGGCGTACTGGCAGACAGCGCAATGGTTAGATCACTGGGGTGTGTCCAGAGACGGTTACTGGTCACCGAATTCCCTTCAGTCTCCTCTGGGAGTTCTGACTTGGGTATACACTTTGTGGCACCCACGATGATTCGCCACTGTCCAAGAAGAGAGGGAGGAGGAGAATGAGATGATGCAACAGATTGTGATGCAAGAAAACTGAAAGAGACCAAAAGGAGTTGAGGATAAAAAGCCAGGGCAGAAGGGGGCCTATAGTGTCATATTCCTAGAGTCACTTCACATTAGCCTGTTGCTGGGTTTAGTTCACAGATTACACAACACTTTAAAAGTGTCCCAGAACAACAACATCAGGCTTGTGCCCTTATTTACTTAATCACAAAACAAAAGAAATTTCAACTGTCTCCCTTCACCCCAAGTTTTTCCGCCTCTGATTAAAAATAGCAACATCTTCCCTGTTTTTGCTGACGGTCTCCTTCCAGGAGCCAGAAACATGGCATGAAAGTGTTATCAGCCCTACATTGGAGGGCCAGGTATGGTGAATCCTTTACAAAGAGGTATTTTCTCATGCCTATTTATTAGGCATTTGAGCTAAACAGACATTAGCAACAAAAGAAAAAAACTAAAGTTCTAAAGAATCTGCATGAAAAACACTTCCCCTCTCAGTTAGACTAGGTTTTGCTTTTCTGTTCCTTCTGAGATCATAACCCTAACAGTTTCCCATGCTCACAGAACAGTGAAAGACAAGCAGCATAGAGTGGAATTTCTAATGTAAAAAACAAGCAGAGAACAAACAACCCAACCTACCAACCAACCAAACAAAAAAACCCCTTTCAAGCATGTCACTCTGCACAATCATACAAAAAGACCCAAAGTCCTTTTTACTCTTTGCAGGACCCCTTTAAAATTCCTCATATTAAAACTACTGTTAATAACGCTTCTGTTATCCATTAGATTGGGGTGCCTGACTGACGCTATGTCTACACTACACTGTTCTTCTGGAAAAAGCTATGCAAATTACGAACCGCAATTAGCATAGCTTTTTCTGCTTCTTTTTTCGGAAGAGGCTTTTCTGACATTTGGCCCATCTACACTGGGCCAAATGTCGGAAACCCCCCCTTTTCGGAACATCCCTTCTTCCTCATAAAACGAGGCTTACGGGGATGCCGAAAAAGCACATCTGCTCTTCTCAAAAATTTTTGGAAGAGCAGACGCGTTCCCTGGACCTAGTAGAGTTAAAACTGTATAATGTAGAAGTAGTCCTACAGCCCAGGAGTGCTTTCACAATGCCCATAGTCTGCTTTAACACATGTACTAACAGCCAGATCATTAGTGTTTGTTTACATCATTTTGGTTTACACAAGTTTGTAAATAGACAGCACCATACATAGAAATAGCTTATCTAAATACATATGAAATAAAATGAACTTAAAATATAAATCAATATGGGGGTATGTCTACATTAGCCCCCTAGTTCAAACTAGAGTGGCTAATGTAGGCATTCGAACTTGCAAATGAAGCCAGGGATTTAAATATCCCGGGCTTCATTTGCATGTTCCCGGGCGGGCACCATTTTTAAATCCCCTTAGTTCGAACTGACTGCCCGCAGCTACACGCGGCAGTCAGAAGTTAATCCGAACTAAATCCTTAGTTCAGATTAACTGTTACTCCTCCTGCAACTAAGGATTTAGTTCGGCTTAATTTCTGACTGCTGCGTGTAGCCGCGGGCAGTCAGTTCGAACTAAGGGGATTTAAAAATGGTGCCCGCCCGGGAACATGCAAATGAAGCCCGGGATATTTAAATCCCGGGCTTCATTTGCAAGATCAAATGCCTACATTAGCCACCCTAGTTCGAACTCGGGAGCTAGTGTAGACATACCCTGGGTGACTTTAAATTTTATTACTTGGAATCTGTGTGGTCCACACAAAGTTGTGCTTAGGTTTATGTGGTAATAAGGTTAGCAATGGCATTTTCTAGTCTGTCAGAAACGAATCTTTACAACATAATATACATGTTAATCCTCCATCTCCCAAGAGTTAACACAATCCACTTAATTCAAAAATGCACAACTGAATAGATACCATGGAGTCATGGATGTAAAACTCCATTACTAACTTCATTACTTCATTACTAACTTAGTCCATTACTGGCCACTGCTCTCTAAAGGCCAGGAATTGGAGTGTGAAATCCTAAACCAGGCATAGGCAATAATTTTTGCAGGGGAGGGCACTCCAAGGATTTGGTAAGTGGTCACAGAACTTACTTTTCTATTACATTAATGGAAGTGGTGAGGGGTCTGGGAGGGAGACTGGGGGCAGGAGATTATGACCTGGGGAAGGTGTTGGGTGTGCCAGGGAGGTGCCAGGCTCTGACTGGGAGACACTTATCAGCAGAGGTGGCTGGCAGCATGGCAGGACACACAGACAGGCAGGCTGCCTGCATGCCATAATGGTCCTATGCCACTCAAAGCTGCCGGATGCTGCTTGCAAGCATGCCTCTGCACACCCTTTGTGGGCAGGGAGGCAGTATGTCTCTGTGCCCCCACCTACAACTTCCTTTGGCTAGAAACTGGTTAATAGGAGCTCTGAGGATAGCACTGCCCCCTTGCTCACTGCCCCTTGCCCCCAAGGGGCGTGCAGAGACATGCTTGTCAGCAGCCTGTGGCCATGGTGCTTCCGGGAGTGGCATGGCTGGGGCCTTGGCAGCCAGGCTGGATGCTGTCCCTTGTCCTAAACAGACTCAGTTTAGGACAACACCTATTCATTTGGTCTGGTATTTCCATGAGAATAATTGTCAAAACTTTTCATTCCAGGTGACTGGAATAGTCTTACCTTTGGTTTGTTACTTCTCTGGAGAACATCAAGAAGCTGCCGGCGAAAACCCTCTAGCTGTGACAGACCAATTCTAGAAGCAACAGAGAGAAAGAATATTAGCTACAACTGCACAGGAGACAACTGGGAAGTTAGCATCAAAACACAAGTACCAAGGAGAGGAGGTACTGGCAGAACAGAAGAATGAAATACCACAATCCAAGAGATGTACAAAGGTGTGGGAGATACCACAATACGGGGGATGCAAGAAACATCACAGAGATATCAGACGACACAATACAGGTAACCCACAGGCAAACGGACAAGATAGTGCAAAGGTTTGAGATGTGACAATACAGATAACTCAGGAGATAGATACAGAGATGCAAGATGGCATGAGACAGGTAGATAGCACCGGTGTGATGTCACAATACAAAGAACCAGGAAAATGGTTCAGAGATATACAAGACCACAAAACAGGCAAGCCAAGGAGATGGTACAGCAGTGTAAGACACCACCATACAGGTCACCAGGGAGACAATGGACTGGTGAGAGATGTCAACTTACAGATGGCCAGTAATAATACTCAGTACTCTAAAGTGCTTTCCCTCCAGAGATTTTTACAGCACTTTACAAAAGTTGGTCAGGATCATTATCCCCATTTCAAAGATGAGGAGACAGAGAGCAAAATGATGTGGCCTGCCCAAGGTCACACCACGAGTTGATGGTAGAACTGGGGACAGGACCCAGGTCTCCTGGATCATGGCTCCAGCATTAGGCCACACATCTCCAAGGCAAAGATAAAAAGGTGTGATATATCAGATGCAACAATGAACATAATTGTGAAGTCAGGATATTCACCTTTCTACTCATACAGGGAGAGAGGGGGAAGGGATATGCCAATACACAGGTGTGTGATACACCAATAAAGGTGTCCAGGTAAAAGATACAGCAATACAGGTAACTAGGAAGAGAAGGACAAGTAAGAAGCACATGAGGATAGGTAAATGAGGAAACTGGAGACAGATATGATTGGGGTGGGTGGGGTTTCAGACAGGAAACAGGTACCTTTGGTATAGAACAAATGGATACTGAAGTGAGGAATTCAGAGACTTTTCAACTTGCCTGGGGACTAGATCTTTGCCAAGCACGACAGCAGTCACAAACTCTTTCGAGTACTCCATGGCATCCTCACTGGAAGAGAAACAGGGTCCAAGAAGAAAAAGTAGGATTTCACTGGCAGTGAACGGCACTCCATGGCCAAATTGCTCATGACCTCTGAAGGCTCAGATTTCCAAGAGACTGGATTTGGGGGACTGTGGTGTTGTGCAGGCCACAATTTCTGTTCCTGATGACATCTGGGGTTCTCACCTTGCTCCACACACACAAGGCTTTAAATTCACTCCTGTAGCCCAGGTGCTATTAGCCTTTGCGTGCACTTGGGAAAGGAAGTGCTCAAACATTATAACTCAAATTGATTCTCCCCATAGTCTTCATATGGCCAGGACACTTGAGAGAGGTAGGAAGGCCATGGTGCTTGTGAGACAAAGAACACCACTTTCTGCACCACCCCATCCCCGCTGGCCCATGGTAAGAGTGAGCTAAGGCTCCGAGATCCTGTTCATTATGCAGATTTACATCTTCACTGGCCTCTCTCTGACTGGTGGATAGATTCAGAGTAGCTAGAGGGCAACACTTATTGACAGAAATCAAATGAGAGGGTCTACGGACGATACTGCAAGCCGTGTTAGAGTATCATGAAGAATAAAGATCAGAAACATGGTAAGTGGAGGCACCCCAAGGAGCTATCTGATAGTCTGGGGTCTAACAGCACACCTTAGCCATGGCTGTGTCTATAACAGTGCAAGGGATTTCTATTGGGGGAAACCAAATAGATTAGCTACAGAATTCCCTCAGGGTATGTCTAGACAACAGGCTTTTGTCGACAGAGGCTTTGTCAACAGATACTGTCGACAAAGCTTCTGTCGACAAAGAGTGTCTAGACTACACCCAGTTCTGTCAACAAAGCAAGCCACTTTGTTGACATGAGAGTGTAGATGCAAAGGACAGTGTAGATGCAATAACACCTTCCGTCAACAGAACTCTGTCAACAAAAGACGTTGTTTCTCCTAGAATGAGGTTTACCACCGTCAACAAAACTGCCGAGTTCTGTTGACATTATGTCGACAGAACTCAGAGATAGTGTAGACGCAGGTATAGTTTTGTCGATAAAAGTCCACTTTTGTCGACAACACCCTGTAGCCTAGACACACTCTCAGTGACTGCCCCTTGACAGTCATTACAGAGCACTCTCTGTCCAACAGACACTGCAGAGACTCCTATCATGGAGTGCTACACAGACACACAACTATCGTGATGCACAAATCTCTGTAGCTGCTGTAAATAACCGTTGCAGTGACAGTCATGACTGATCAAGGGGCCCCATCCCTCTTCATGTGGGTCAAGATGGGTGATTTCTTTTTAGCTACTATATGAGTCACCTACTGTATCTATCTGCAATGGACAAAGAGGCACAGTGCCCAGAATCTCATAATATGCAGTGGAAGATGACGGAAGGGAAACATGGGCTGGGCTGCCAGCCTCTTGATTGTGGCTTGCGATTGCTATTGTAAACAGGGTGAAGCTACAGTATTTGCCAAGGGACTCCTGTGTGATGTGACTTCATATATTTAATGAGTGACTGGAGCAGCTGTCCACCTGGCATCATGATCAAGATCTGAAACCTAGACACACAGAACCAGGCCAACTGCAACATCAGCATCTCTAGTGTATTGCTCCCATGGCTGTAAGATTTTTAGGACAGGGATGTCTCTTGCCATTTTTCAGTACAGCACCAAGCACCCTGGAGCCTTGAGGTGCTCTCATACTAGCACAACATAATGGTCATCTGCAATCCCCCTGTCAGGTCTCATCTCCCAGCACATACCTCAGCAGCCCCCCAGGGGGAGAATAAGCATAGCACTTCAGCGATGGGTACTGTGGACGCAGCATAAAGGACAGAATAGCAGCTGTGCCAGCCCCTAGGGAATGGCCCACAACAATCAGCCCATAGTGTTTTGTTCCTCTGCCCTGCAAAACAAAGACAAGCTGAGATACTGGAAGAAGGTGGGCACCTTTCTACAAGGCCCCGCCGGCTTAGCAAAAGCTGACTCTTCCATGCACTAGCACGCCAGACCCTCCCTCCTTCCATAAATGACTTATGACAGTGGTTCCTAACCTTTTTGATACTGGGGACCAGAAAACCCATTCACAAACTTTTGGCAGACTGGTAACATTTTATTTGCATATTTGCATATTAATTACCATCAAAAGCCCAGCCCCCAGAGTCCCCAGTGGCAGCCCTAAACCCCAGAGCCTCCCAACCCTCAAGTGCCAGACTCTGACCCCAGAGTCCCTTGCATCCAACCCCCCCCCCCCCAGCACCAGCTTCCCATCCTCAGAGCCCCCCCGTGGCAGCCCATTCCAAACGCCTCAGTGCCAGCCCCCCACTCCTTAGAGCCTTCCCCCTACCAGATCCTCCCCCAGTGCCAGCTTTTTGTTTCCAGAGCCCCACTGCATCTAACCCCTCCCCCAAGTGCCAGTCCCCAATATCAGCCCCATTCCCAGGGCCCCCTAGTTCCAGCACTACCTCCATAACCCCTCACCCACTAATAGCTCAGCCTCCAGGAGGAGACCCCGCCCCTGCCTGGCACTGGTTGGCTGAGAGGCAGGGCAGGACATGCCTCTCCCAACAGCCTCAGCGAGAGCAGCGTACCTCAGCCCCGACACCCAGAGCCACTGCAGCCAGAGATCGGTTGGTTGGGACCTGCTAACTTATGACACCTTCTGGAGTGGGAGTGGAATTCAGATTACAGGCTGCCTTAGTCTAGGCTACATAATGACAGTTCCACCAAGCAAATCCCATCCCTGCCCTGGCAGGGCACTTCAGAAGAAATGAAAGCAGAAATCCTAGCAGTCACATCACTAACTTAGCGGGACCCAACTCTGTCCCATCTGACAGATGCAAATAGGACACGTTTGGCACTTCTTGTGACTCTGTCTCCACACAGCAGGGAACTAACTCATCAGCCTGGAAACAGAATTTAGGTAAATCACATCAACTGCCACTCAGAGAGACAACTCAATAATTTTCAGGACAAGGGTTCTAGAAACTTTTTTAGAGGGAAACTGTAGAGATGTGCAGTGAGAATAATCAAAGATGAATATCCAACAGACTGGGGTGCTCCTAACGGTTTGCACACAGGCTACGGAAAATGGACTGCTCTGGAAAGGAGGAGAACTTGCAACATAATAAATTTGCTGGAATTGAGGGTAAATAGAAAGACCATGAAATGTCTAACTCCCCTCTTGGTGTCATCCAGGCTCAGAGTGACAATTATGCAAGCTTACATAAATGGCCAGGAGGAATTTGGATATCTCATCGGCAAACCGAGAATCTACACTCTTCACACTGTGAAACAGTGGAAGCTACTGGGTTTGGCAGCGTAAGTACAAAGCAAACACAACATTCAAGCCTGTTTGGCTAAGTCAACAGACCCTGTGCCATGGAGAATGGAAAATGAATAGACAACCTCCGTCAGTTTCCAGCGAAGAATGCCACAGAGAAATTTATTTGCCTTGTTGTTAGACTTTCCTTGTTGCAGTCACTGGGGGGAGGAATGCATGGAAAAACTGATGCATTCTCAAGTCAGGAGTCTAATCCCTTTTGTGGGCCTTTTTTCCTTTCACTCTCCTTACTCAGATAGCCAGAGCACTCCTCAAAATGCCAAGATATGTCCCCAAAGTTCTTAGTTTTCCTGGCTCCTTGAAATGTCAGTTTGCTCCCTTGAATTCTATCTTCCACTACATGTCCAATCAGATGCCAAAAACTAATTCAAACTACTGGCTTGGAACTTGTATGGCTGCATCTTCTGGAGTGTAGATATTTTCAATAACTAGCAGACTAATTCTTGTAATAAAAAATCCACTTCTAAACTTTGCTATTGCATTTGGTATCTATTTAGAAGTTGAAGCTCTAGGCATGGTCTGAATCTTAAAATTTACTAATAAAAAACTATGTTAGCATTATCAAAGCTTTAAATCTCAGTTCTCTGCCTGGCCCACGGCAGCACTAGGGCCCCTAGACTATCTAGAGGAAAGGAAAGTCTTCTATTTCCTTATCTTCCCCGGGGCCAGACCCTAGTAAATTAAAGATTGGGTCCAGCATATTTAAAATTATCTTACCAAAAGGAAGTCAAATTCAATTGCCTTGATGTTTGATAGGTGATGAAGTACTATTTAGACAGGAACAATAACAAGATTTTGGGTGCACAATGTGCAAGAGAGAATTAAGGTATCAGAGCTTCAAGCACCACTATATTTTTGCCAAGTCTGGGCAGCAATTATTGAGGTCTATGGGACAGCAAGAAATTCCCCTCTTATGAGTAACAGTTGCTCACTAAATAAGGCCAATTCCCACTTTCTGGGGTGATAAGAAGAGAGCATCACATTAAGAAATCAGAGTAGTGACCTGTGAATCCCTCCATCCGCTTATCAGATATTACAAGGTGATCATCTTACTGGGGCACTTGGTTCTCAAGTCCTGCAGTCTGCCACCCTTTCTTGATCCCTCTTTTCCCTCTTCCTCTTCTTTTTGGTTTCTAGGTTGCTTGCTAAATCGCAATAGCAGGGAATCTGACAGTCCAGAGAAGACTGTCCCTTAGTTAAGTGTCAGTCATTCTGTCAGTGCGGCATAATATACACTCACTTTGGAAGTCAGCATTCAAGGGTTGTGGTGTGGGTCTCTTCATGATACGGGAAGATCCGTTCATGCAAAATGTATATATTTGAGCTGTTCAGATGAATGCTACTGGGTACTGCTCCCTGGTAGTCTCTCTCTAAACCAACGGATTCCATGGGCATAAGAATTTAGTCTTATTGGTATGTTTCTCTGCTCAGTGTTGCTATGGGATGAAGCGTTTTTGTCTGCAACTGCAGCCTGATTTCCTGGTTTTTGCCTTGCTTCAAGAACTAGCTCTGAAGCCCTGAAGGACTGATGTGGAGAACCCTTCAAAATAGGGTGGTGCATGGAGGAACAGGAACACTGGAGTAACTGGTAACAAGTTGGCTCTCTGATAGCTGGGATCAGCCAGACTTAGAAGAAAGCTTTGAATTCCTGGGACCAATTCTACTACAGTTGTTTCAGGACAGTGTGGGTGGAAGCAGGATACCAGTAGCACAGGAAAATCTCATCTGCTAAACACGGAAATCAAGAAGAAAGGACTCACCAAGTCACGTCCAAAGGCTTGAGAAAGCACCATCTCCTGCTCCAATTTCTTCTTGATGTACTCAGCAGACAACACCATTCCCTAAGGCCAGACATCACAGATCAAAATGTGATCATTAGCATAGCAGCCTCAATAACACAAGTCAGCAAATTACTGAAAGGAGCTAGTGGGCTTTCTAGCTAGGGTTCTGGACTGCACCCAAGAGTGATGGGGGAAAGTACTGACTTACCCTCCTGTTTCATTTGGAGAGAAAATAATTGGGCAGCAGGTATGTGTCTAAGGAGCAGGACTGTGAACTGCTATACAATAGCAGAAATGATAAATATTCATATTATGGTAGCACCCAGAGACTTTCTGACACTTGGACCATCTATCTTTGGTATTTACCATCACAGAGCAGTGAACTGAACCCGGATCTCCTGAGTGCTAGCACCTTAACCATTATCCTCTTTAGTTTCACTCTGTAAATGAAGATGTTAACTATTCTAACACATTCACAGGCAAACAAAAGAACATCAAGGTTCCTGTTATGTCTACTAGCCCCAGAGAGTGAGAGAACTGTTTAGTAGCCCACATGGGAAGAGGAATGGGTGGGGCCATGGGGGAATGGAGAGGCGAGAGACTATTGTGTGGAATCTACCCTCGTTGCATACTGAAGACATTGGAATGGGTTTGTAATTGTGAACTATTCAAAGCACTTGAGTGGGATAGAATCCAAAGATCTGGACAGCTCATCTTATTTGTCTGCCTTCAGTGTACACAGCATTGAATTTGCTATGTGGCTGTTTCTCATTCTATCTGTAGTAAATATGGAGGCTGCAGC